GCAACACCTAGTCGATCGCTTGTCAAAGGTCTTGCACGAGCTACAAATGGTCGATTTGTTTTTATACCACCTAATACTAATATTGATATTTATATTGAAGAACAATTACGAAACGCTATTCGACGATGTATAACAAATATTCGTGTTGATTGGAATCTTGGAGTTAATGTCGAAAATGTTCCAAATGAATTACCACCAGCATATATAGATGATCGTTTAATTATCTATGCATTGATAAATAATCAAACAATACCATTTAATCATAGATCATCGATTGAAATTCGAACAGATCAAAGTTATTATCGTTTAGGTATAACTGATTCAGATCGAATAACAAATAATAATAAAATGATCGAACGTCTTGCTGCTAAAGCATTAATTCTTCAATTGGAACATTGTAAAATCTCACGAACAACTCAAAAAAAAGTACGATTTGAAGATATAGCTGATAATGATTCACTAAAGAATGAAATCTCTCGATCAAAACAATATAGGAAACAACGTATTATTGATTTATCATTACGATATAATATTCTCAGTCCATATACAGTATTTATTGGTATTGAAAAATCTCTAGCCGATAAACATATTAATAGAATTTTACGTGAAGTACCAATACAAATAGTAGCTGATGATCAACCTATTCAATCAACGGAAACAGTTTTATCCAGTAGTAGAAAAAGTGTTGATGGAACTAAGGCAACAACATTCACAAATCAACAATCAGTCGATAAACCAGTACATATTGAAAGAACACGAGAAGATGTATTACTATCAAGGCATTCAATAAAGAATAACAATTGGCAGTCCAATTCTCCCAAGCATGTTTCATTGCATTATCATACATCTACTCCAGTGAAATCAAGCATGACTACGCAGAAGGATTATTCAACTTCAGCAGTTGATCATGATGAAACTCACTCCGTAACACATGATAAAAATATTGTTTATTATTTAATCCATCGACAGGATGATGATGGTCTTTGGCATTTTGTTTCTCCAAGAAAAACAATAAAAGAATTAACTGGAAAATCTCTTAGC